GTCAAGATGCATGAGACAATGAGATCCGGAGACCACTCTTACGAAGTCGACAAGAATGGCCAGAGCCAACTCGAGATGGTGGCTACTCGCACCCCGCCTAGCGAGCCCGAGAAGCAGCAGTTGGCGCCCATTACCAGCAGAGCTCCAGAAGTCCACGAGAAGGTGAGTGTAAGACCCTGAATGCTTGATCATATACTAATTCACCCCTAGATGAACGCAAGGCTGGCCATGACGCTTCTGTGCATGTCATTCCTCTGGATCGGCTCTCAAATCCCGCTCTTCCTCTTCGGCTCTGTCCTTCCTCTCATCTATCAGGATGTTGGTGGGGTTGACCGATACATCTGGTTCATAATAGGATACCTCATCCCCAATGCGGCTCTCTGTCCTTTTGTGGGCGCATTGTCCGACCTGTTTGGGCGACAGAAGGTGGCTATTGTGGGTCAATTGTGCCTCATAGTCGGGCCGATTATCACAGTGACTGCGCATACCATGAACATCGCTATCGGTAAGTACCGCAACCTTATTTGAAACATCACAAACCTAACGACTCGTAGCCGGTCAGGTCTTCTCGGGAATTGGTGCCGGTCTCAATGAGCTCATCGCACTCGCCGGCACAGCAGAGATCGTGCCCATCAAAGATCGCGGCAAGTACGTCGGTCTTGTCGTAATCACCATCCTTCCCTTCTGCCCATCAGTGTTGTGGGCTCAATTGATCGCTCAACAGAGCAACTGGCGCTACAATGGTATTTTGGTTTGTGTATGGAACTTCATCGGGTTGGTACTCTGTGTCTTCTGCTACAAGGACCCGTCGCGCTTGACAGAAGAGTATACCGCCCGTCATGTCCTCCGCCAGGTCGACTACATTGGTGGCATCTTGAGCACATGTGGTATCACTCTCTTTATGATGGGTCTACAATGGGGTGCATCACAGGTCAGTATACTATCCGAAGCAGGTCACATTGCAGTGCTGACATTCTACAGTATGAATGGGGCAGCCCACACAACATCGTCCCTCTCGTTCTCGGTATCATTCTCATCATCGCCTTCTTCGTATGGGAGGTGTATGCTCCACACCCCATGGTTCCCAGGGCAATATTCCACAAAGCGAAGCAGACCATGATAGTTATCCTTCTCATCACATTCCTCAGTGGTGGCAACTACTTCGTCCTGCTGCTCTTCTGGCCTACTCAAATCTACAACGTCTACGGTAAGCATGGCCTACGAATATTTTCCCCACTACTTCCATACTAATATAAGTCTAGGTGATGACCCGGTTGGCGTCGGAATCCGCTCTCTTCCCATCGGCTTCGGCATCATTGGCGGTGCATGCATCTGCCTCGTCCTCATCCCCGCCACCAAGGGTCGCATCCGCGAATTGATGATCTTCTTCACAGCCATGATGACAGCCGGCACAGGGGCCATGTGCATTGCGACACCCGACAACCTGAACGTAGTGTACGCCCTCATCTCACTAGCATCCATTGGAGTCGGCGGGGTCATTATTCCTTCCTCCATCATCGCGCAGATCGCCTGTCCGGACGAACAAATCGCAACCATTACAGCCATCACACTCAGTATCCGCTACCTCGGTGGTGCGATTGGTTTCGCAGTCTACTCCAATCTCTTCTTCCGCAAGGTCACCATCCACCTCACTGAGATTGTCGCGGAGAAGACATTAGCGTATGGCGCCATCATCAACCCTCTGTCGGCAGACGGAATCGCCGTCATCACCCTGGTTACCAACCTCATGGGTAATGCTAGGTTCGAAGAAGTCAAAGAGATCTTTGCTACCAACCAGGAAGTGCTGCAGAGAGATGCATTCCCTGTTGTCCTGCGTGCTTCCCAAGAAGCTTTCGCATTGGCGTACAGGTGGCCATACTGGATCTCGATCGCTTTCGGTGGTGCTTGTTTCATTTTGAGCTTCTTTGTTGGAAACATCAGGGGCCTGTTGACGGCCAAGGTCGCTCATCCTGTTTAAGCAAGGAGGAAGCTTGCTTGTAATGCTTGAGATGTCTGGGTAGTCGCTCTGAAGGCGGTGAGTCAGATGTAGATACAGCAGCTCTCAAATGACATTCGCTTTGTTGAAGATATTGATTGTGCCTCGAGAGTTGAACTTTTACTGTCTCATCTGTACTTGCATATGGTGATATCGTCGGAGCGGTCACACGGTTTGGTGGATTCGTAGTACAGTGATAACGTTTCTTGATTAATGTTTAACTTTTATACTTTTTGAGACACATATTTTGTGTGGGTGAACAGCACACCGGGTATATAACGCCACCAGCAATGCCAGCATGACTTCGCCTCCGCTAACGTTGCAGCCAAATTTTGAGAAAAGAAAAGAACAAACAGAAAGGAAAAGCGGGCTCACTCAGGTACGCCCCGCCATACTTAATAATCCACCGGCGACTACTCCAGCGCCCATTATACCAATCTGCGTCCAGGGCACTTGGCCCATGTAGAGCCAGCTCTTTGAGACGGCGCCGACAACATAGTCCAGTGAGACAGAGCTATGCTTTGCATGCTTCGTATGACGACGACTGGACGACGGCGACATTAAAGGAAGGGTGGGGTCGTATTTTGGAGGATCGGTCCAGCGCCGGGAGGAGGTTTTGGAAGTATCGATTACCGTGTCTGCGGTACTAATCTCTTCCTTTGGGAGTGAGGCTTCACCAGTGGGTATGCTAGGGAAAGTGAAGGCTGAATTGAGGGTACCGCGTGATTCGTCGCTGACAGAAACGACTTGGTCATCCTCTTCAGTCGAATCGGATACAGTGGCTCTTATTGAAGATAAAGGTGTCGCAGGGCTGGAAAGATATTCTTGCGTGCTTTGCTCATCCTTGGGTGGTGTAATGACGAGGACAAACTCTGTGTTCTCCATGACATCCGATGATGTATCCAGCTCATCATCGATGCCGAAGTTTTCTTGTTGATCTCCAAAGTCCTCGTCGTCTTCATCGTCGTCAAAAGCGTCCTCGACACGCTGCTCAAACTTGGCAGTTTGCCTAAATGTGTTGAGCGCGTCCATGGATTCCGTCCGACAAATCGTCTTACGGCGCCTGGATGACAAGCTTAGTCGTGCATTGATGGAATTGAAGGCGTTTTGCGCCCCCACGCTGTCCGCGTTATTGAAGTTTTCGAAAAAGGGAGTGTCTGGTGGTGAAGAGGAAACATAGCCCTCATCGCTGGGCTCAGAGTCGGTTTCATCCTGACTCTGCGACTGATCACACCCGTCATCGTCTCCAAATACGACGTCGTTAAAGTCCAGCTCCTCTTCTTTGTCTGCGGCGGCGAATGGGCGGGTGGCCGACAACATTGTTTCGTTGTCCTCCACTGATGCAGTGGTTGTCGGCGACATCTCTTCGTCGTGAACAGAACCGTTGTATGGCTCGTAAGCCTCTTCATCCCAGCCGTCGTCCGAATCGCTATCATCATCATCTGACGCGTCGTCTCCAGTCTCGGCTTTCTGCTCCTGAGCCTTAAACTGGTGGTAAAAATTCTCAAGTTCTGTCCTGGAGAACCACTGGAACTGATCAATATGGTTGGTGATTTGATCATCAATCATGCGATCAATCTCCTCGTTCATCTCGCGATCGGCGTCTTCTACCGCCTCTTCTTCGGGGTCGGCAATGTCATCGATCTCGTGCGCATTGTCGATGGAAGTGACGATGTTCAAGGGTGAATTACGATAGACCCTTCTAGATGAGAAACCTCTATGTTTCATCTTCCAGTCCCGGAACCCTCTCGCATAGTAAGACCGGTGGCCCGGGTATTCGCTCAATTCTGGATAGGCTGGGACGTCGGACTCTTCTTTACCTTCATAAGAAGGACCAATAGCGTGCGTGATAAGGATGTACCGCGCAGACATGACCTGATGTTTTGGACTGCAGCCAAGTACGGCGATATGCCAGTGCTCAGCTGGCGGCTCAACAGCTGGCTCTACCTCCGCCTCCGGGGTAGGCTCCGCGTCTGACGACTCCTGGATGGCGGGAGGATCCAAATAGGCGCGCTCGTTGGAGATGCGGGATAGCGTGTAGACTTCGCCTTCCTTCGTGTCATCTCCAGTGGGAGCGACCTGGAGAGGGCCTAGCTCGGCGGCAGTGGGCGCGGAGGTGTCGACGGTAGCATTCCAGCTATCCAAGTCAAATTCGTCGTCGTCGTCGTCGGCCCAGTTGAATTTCTGGTTGACACTAGCGACTGTGTCGGAAGCCATGATTGCTTGTGTGACTGTTTTGGTTTGGTGATCGTAAGTGGTAACCGAAGGGTCGTTGTCGTATCGAGTTCAGTAATGGCCGGCGAGATCGCAGTGCGGTTGGAACTACGCGATAATGTGATGGAAAGAGTGACGTAAACTAGACAGTTGCAAATTTGTTCGTGGGTGTGCGATGGTGAGAGTCCGCTTTCTTACACAGTCTTGGCGTTGGAAATGTGCGCGGTGGTGGTCGATGCGCAGTCGTTCGTAAAGAGGGAAACGACGAGCGGGCTAATTAGTGAAATGTGTAAAGAATGAGAAACCGAAGACATTTTGGCAAGTGAGAGCGTTGTGTGGTGACGTCGCGACAGTGGATGACCCTTGATCAAACCAGGGTTCACTCCTCGTGGGTTTAGTCATTCACGACCACACTTTGGAATTCACACAAAATGCTTGAAGTGCAATGAGGGCACATGGCAGGGCTTATATTCATACAGGAAATGCTACTGATGCATGCAGGTGGGTATCTAGAATCGAGATTTCATAGCGCGCCAAAAGAGAATTCAAGTAAAAGCAAAGATGCTCTACAAAATATGTCTGTGTCGTCCAATGAAAAGCGTTTCACAGGGGCTTTCCAATCAATTCCAACGCCTCTACCATGTCCCCAACATATGTTCGGTCTGAAGTGGGCCCAAACGCTCGCCGAACCATCGTTCCGGGTGGATTGCGGAGGCAGCGTGAACGGTCCGTGAGACCAGTCGGATCACCTAAAGAGTTCCGACGCAGATCCAGTTCCCCAGCCGACCATCTAGAGGATGCTGTCGATCTTCTGGAACGGATGTCGGCTCGACAGCGCAGCTGGCAATACGCGCCAAGCAGTCCGTGAGAATCGTTTCGTCGCTTTGACATAGTCGTGGGTAGCCTGCTTTGTGTTTTGGGGTATTTTCTTGAGACAATGCTTCATCTTGCTAGTCCACTTGCGACGCGGTTTCGCGCAACCATCCAAGGGTTCTGACCAACATTCGGAATGAACATCCGGATCAGTGGCGACATGTTCAATAAAATCGGCGGCTTCCTCGTACATAAGCGGAGCCTTATACGGGCGGTTGGCGATGACTTCAGGCCACATGGGTTCGTCATTGTCCGTAGTTTCCGTTAGCGACGCACGTAGCTGTGAGAGCTCTTCTACGTCGCAGTCCTCGGATTCATTCCTCGTGATAGAGTTCTGGGCGTCTTCAAAGTCGTTTCCAATGCGCTCGGGTGCGTTGGGCCAGCTTTCACCCTCCCACGTCTGCAGCCCACTAGACCATTCTTTGGTAGTGGGGATAGGTGGACTGAGTGCAACCTTCCCACCCCGCACAGTGCCACCTGCACAACCTTGAAAGTGTTCGCTTTTTGGAACAATACCTGCGACGGGAGAATTGCACCCTGTCTTTGCAGAGATTTCATAGCCATGTCCGCACTTTCCAGTATCGTTGTCGGGGCCAAGTGCGTTCATAAGCCGAGAATGTTCAGTTCGTGCAGACTGTGGACGGTTGGTCCGGTAAGACGAAATGGAAGTCCTCGAAGTGCATTTTGAGAACACTGAATTTTGGACGGACGATTTGGTATTCAGGGTATCGTTAGAAGACGAAGTGCGAATCCGAGCCGTAGCTTCGGGTTGATTAGCGTACGGGCTATCACCCGCGTCTTTGATCTGCCCGGGCTTTTCAGGTCCATAGCAGTTCGTCCCAAATCGTAGCAACGACGGGCCATGTACCATGCTGCACCCGGTCTCAAGCTTGTATTCCAGCCATTCGCGACAATCAAAGCCGGTGCCAGCAGTAGCGCAATGTACAATTCCAAAGCGTTCTTGTAGCATGTCCAGAGCGTCATCCGCTGAAAGTCCGCAGCTTCCCTCATCATGCGTGGCGCAAGGGCTGTGACCCTCAAAGTTTGGGTCGTAGCAGGGCTTACGGATAACACTGTAGGTGGTACCTGCAGGTAGTGGGCACGAAAAAAGCGAAGCAGAAGGTGACGAGCACGAAGGCGTACAGTGGTCCTCAACGTGAGCGATCAGTGATGCGAGTGAACGGTTACCGCTATGACGACGAAGTCGAGAGTTTTGCTTTGGTCCACAGGGGTAAGGTATATCGATGTCCTTGGGAGGCGATGGTGTAAATGGGTGAGCGTCAGAATATGTGCGGCCGGGTGGCGTGATTGACAGCGCTCCTGCTACATCCTCTAATTCCTCGACCTTTTTAGCAAAGGACGAGAGTGCGTTCTCGATTTTCAGTTCAAGATCGATGTCGTCATCTTCTGAGTCTGAGTCTGTCTCTGATCCGGCGCTGTCAAAGCTAGCATTCGCGATACATCGAGCCAGAGAGGGCGCACTCTGGGCACGCATCAAGCGGGCTTGATGAGGTGTCTCAGTGTCCAAAATGTTCTTATCCTTGAACTCTGTCGGCGCCACAGCCTTGGAGGTCGGAATTTTCTGCATGAAGTCGCAAACCCCACGCCATGAGCGATCCGCATCCTCATCCTCGTTGATGTACTCGCCCAGGTCGGTCTTCATATCCTCGTCTAATATGTCGAACTCTTCCTCTTGTTGTGCTTGACCAAGGAAGAAGACTGTTTTGGTGCCAGTCGCGGTGATGTGCTCGTGGCCCATTTGCTTAATGGCCTTGTACTGTCCGACAATGTAACCTTGTACATCTCGCTTTGTCTTCACGTCCATTAACGCGAAGCTCCTTACAATGCGCGGAAAGGAAGTGGGATGTTCAGGGGGATCATTGGCAGACGAATCGAAGGCTACATTGATCTCAGGCTGTGGGCCTGAATGATTAGGTCGGCTGGGCGTCTTGTTTCCGGCTCCTTCATAGGCATAATTCGCGCGACGAGTTTCAACTGGCGATGCGGGAACTCGTAGTCGCGCCATGTTGTCTGTCGGTTGACTGCTGTGCTTCCGTCCGTGGTGGTAGAAAACCTGGCGCTCAAACGCGCGCGGCTTGCATGATGGCCAGCTACTTGAGTTGAGTGTCGAGATGATGTGGGACGAAAGACGTGGTCGCTCACCACTATAGTGGGGTACAAACGGGGTCGGCGTGTACAAAAACTGTGTGAGCGTTTGAGTTATCCAGAAGCGGGTCTCTCTTTTGCCAGCGCTCACCACAGCAACGGCGGGGCAGGGCCCAAGCTATATTTTCATCTTTCACCTGTTTCGAAGACAGTCCGCGTGAATGTGGAGACAAGAATTAAGAAGGGAGAGACATTGTGAGGAGACGGGATGAGATGGAGTCGCAAGCATGAAACATGAGGTAGGTCGTGGCCAGCAAACAGGTCTTTCATAACGAAGGTCGAATTCTGGATATTTGCTTCGTCTCTGAACTGCGGATAAGTAGTCGCTATGTACACATCGATCGCCGCATCTACTGACCGGTAGGTTTCCGGTGCATGACTGTCGCTGCCGCCTATACAACGTTAGTGTACTATGTCTCGTTCCTCCGGTTGTACATACCTGGTGGTTCGGGAAGATCAGACTATCAGCCAACACCACATTCTCCCTCCGTCCCGCAGCGAATACCACAACCTCCGCGATGTCCTCCGGTGTCAGCGGTTCAACGCCCTCGTAGACCTTCTTCGCCTTCTCTTTGTCGCCTCCAAACCTGACTACACTGAATTCTGTCTCAACTTGTCCAGGATCAATCTCGATGACGCGTATCCGTGTAGCGATAAGCTCCTTGCGCATGGCATCTGTGAAGGAGCGCACAGCAGCCTTTGTAGCGCAGTAGATGGATCCGCCTTGGTAGGGCTCGCGACCTGCGATACTACCAATGTTTATAATGTCGCCGGAGGGTGTGGATCGCGCTTTGAAGATGGGTAGGATGGCTTGCGTCATGTTGATTAGGCCGGTCACGTTTGTGCTGAACATGGTGTCGATGTCGGCGGGTGAGATATCGGGAGCTTGCGCAACACCTTTTACAAGGCCGCTAGATTCATTGTTAGCAGACAGTAAGCGGTATTTGAAGAGGTGGTGGCATACGCGTTGTTGACGAGCACATCGATGTCCTTGTACTCTTGTGGTAGATTTCCGACAAAGTTCTGGACTTCGTCCGGCTTGCTGACGTCAAGTTTGACTGGTAGGACCTTGACGCCTTTTGCAAAGCCTTGAATTTCCTGCGCGACCTCTTTCAATGTGTCTTCTCGCCGCGCAGTGAGGATTAGCTTGAGGTCGTCGGGCTGTGTCCGGGCGAATTCGATTGCTGTGGACTTGCCAATGCCAGAAGAAGCACCGGTGATGACGATAGTCTTTCCCTTTAGGCGCTCTGCCATCTTTGTCGACATGTTTGCGGTATGTTGTTGGAGGATGTTCGATAGCTGGGTGCTTCCAGGTGCGAGGCGGGGCCGTAAGGGAGCTTTGGCGAAGGCAGTAGCAGTGCGGAGGAATTGGCGAGATGACGAGAGATTAGGCATGTACGCCGCAATGCTTTGTAATGCAGCAACTGATGTTTGCAGGACGTGGGGCAGGGGATTGGGGATTGGGAGACAGAAGGCAGCGGTTATGAGGTCGCTATCGGCGTATCTCCGAGGCTGCACGAGTCAGGCACCGAGGGGTAAGCACGACAATGTGGAGAGCTCTCGCGTCAAGGCACGAGGACCTGGCTTCAACCATCTCACAGTCACACACTGTCGGCAATACATGTTGAGTTGAAATTATTTGATTCATGCCTTTGCCATGTCTCAGGCGGGCTTCATGGAGACGTTTTATCGTCAATCCAAGTCATTATTTCCTCCTCCAACTCCTAACACGCTGAGTATGTGTGCGGGGTATCGAAATCGTCATTCATCACAACGACTTTAGTTGGCGCCCTTCTTCTTGAGCATAGCCTCGTCCTCTTCCCTCAGCTCCTGGTCGATCTTGGCTCCCTTGGAGGGCTCGTTGCCGTGTGCGCGTGCGGGAAGGGTGGCATCTTGCTCGCGCTGGCGGTCCTCGAGAGACTTCTCCTCGCCCTCCTTCTCACGCTTCTCCTCGCGCTCGAGCTTGTTGGCGATGGATCGCTCGTCCTCTGTGGGTGATTGTTAGTAAACGGTCTTGTAAGAGATGGCTGATGACGCCGCATATCGATAAAGGAAAATGCATGCGAGGCCGAGAGAAACATACTGGAGTCCTGGGCCTTGTGAGAGTGCTCCTTGCCCTCGTGGAAGCGGGCCTCCTTCTTCTCCTGCTCGATCTCGGCGTTGGACCTGGTGACCTGGTCCTGGGACTCGTAGACCGCACTGTTACCGACGTTGGAAGTTCCAGACATGTTGTATGTGTGTGTTTGTGGAAGTGGGAAGAAGTGGAAGGTTTGTAAAGTGTAGTTTGAAGTGAGAAGTGGCAATTGATTGTGTTTGTTGTTGGATGAGTGTGTCTTCTCCCCTCTTTATTAAGGGTCTGAAGTTTGCGCAGAGGCTAGGACCCATGATGACGTAGCTGGTAGCAATTACATCATGGTGGGGAAAACAAACACCAACCCATGGATATTTCGGGCGCCAAACGCAAGAAGCCTGATGACATGCATGAAGCCGATGTGGTACTGGGGCTGACGAAAATTGCATGCCTAGATATTGCGATCGCGGAATCCTTTACTGAGCTAAGTGCGGCCTTGCGCAGAACACAATACGTATCTATCACGCGACAATTACGCGTAGCTCCTCTTCGTGATCCATCTATCAACCAGCGCCAGCGCTTCCTTCGGCTTGTCCATCGGTACCAGATGGCCTGCTCCATTTACCGTAGCGAACGCAAACGTGGTCTCTCTCCCGCTTGTAGTCACGGTCTTGACTTCTTTAAACCACCCCACCTCCTTGCCCTCATGTTCCCAGGACCTCTTTGGCTGTGCGACAAAAGCAGGTTGGCCTTTCCATTGCATCGTGCTAGCCCACTGCAAGTTCCCTGCGGTGTTGCAAGCAAGGTCCAAATTACCCTGATAGAAGAGCACGTCGATGCCATGCTCAAGAAGATACAAAACCTGAGGCTGCATGCTGAATACCAGATCCCCAGTAAGCTCAAAAGCCAACGCAATATCAAAAGAGAACCCTGTGTAGTTGGCTATAGCTTTGGGTACGCCAAGCGCTTCCCAAACCTTGGGCACGTTCATGTAGTCTTGAATCCTTTGGATCTCTGGGTAGCAGAACTCGTCTTTCGTCTCGCACCCGTCCGTGATATCAAATCGGTTGCGACCTCCTGCTCCAGACTCTCCATCGTAAAGGAGCACAACGCCTTCCATGCATACGTTGTCGGCTGCGAGACAGATGGCTGGATCAGGGTTCTTGTAGCACACGTCGATAAGTGCCATACAGCGAGGGAGGTTGGTAGCTATGATGTCGCAACGGGTCTGGTTGAATACGGGAGTCTCCACACCGGGGTTCGTAGTGCACAGCGTTTCCCAGAAACCAAAGTTGGTGTCCCGAGGTGAGACAAAAGCGTTGCCCGTGAAGGTCGACTTGAGATTGACTTGCGGACGCTTAGGATATTCAAGGTTCTTCGTGACAATTTCTGCGCCGAGTGTTGGAACGTAGTGGCCCTATCTTCGATTAGTGAGTGTCTTGCGGGGTTAGCAACATGTGCTTACAGCATAACTTTCTCCTGTGATATGAAAGTCGCGATTCAAAAGATCCGGGAAGACTTCGCTCGTGAACAGCTGCAAGAAGTGATGCATATCCTCAGCAGCCGTGAAGCTTGTCGCAGGAAGCGGGATGCCCTCATCGACGTAGCTGAAACCCACACCAGCGGGCTGGTCAACAAAGATGATGTTGGCATTCTTGCTCCATCCGTATTCATTGTGTACGGTACCGTTGCCAAACTCATTGATCGTGCAAGGTCCCAGTTCGCCCATCAGCCCAAGCATGCCTGAGCCACCCGGTCCTCCTGTTAGCCATAGCAGGAGCGGATCTTCGGAGGGTTTGTCCTGTGATTCGAAGTACCAGAAGAAGATGTGCTTTGAGCCGATGTCTAACCAGCCGGTGTATTGCTTGGAGCGCGCGTCACAGATAGTGTCGCTTTGTTGATGCTTTATGCGAATAGAGTGGTGCTCGGAGAATGGACTTTGGTAGACCTGGAAGCCTTCCACTTCTGGCTTCTCCTGGAATGGGATTTGGGAGAACAAGGACGCTGTTGCAGTCGCGGCGAGCAGACTAGTAATGAAGAGCTTCATGGTCGGCAGGTGTACCCTGATGGGCTGACAATTGGTGCTCGACACGAGATGAAAACACCGGAATACAATTGATAGAGTCAAGACAGGACGAAGATATCACACACAGGTATTTATCGTCTGAGGATCACGCAGGCAGCAGGAAGATGAGATGGCTGGTTGCTGACGAAGAGGAGCAGCCTAATGACGCCCTCCTCGGCTGGAGCAGCCCGCGGCGATCGCCCTGCATCGACCAGGGTACACGACATCTTCAACACGACTACTGCACGCGACTAGACACCTCTCTTGGCCAATTTTCGCGACTGGAACGTGTCAACTCGCACTACCCACAGTTATACTTGGCTATTCATATTTTGGACACGCAACTAGCCTCAAACAGCACGCTGGGAGGACTCGTCGATCCAGCGCCCATTTCACCAGACCAACAACTTCTTCCTTCACCATGCCCTACAACAACACTCCGATTGCGCCAAATAAGGAAATCACCGGCCATGTGTCGCTTCCTCGTAAGTAACAATTTACACATCTTCACTTCTCTCCACCACCTTCGTCGTCACTCCGACCCTTTGCGTGCCTCTTAGAGACCACCCTACCACCGCGTAGTACTGCTGCGACTTGCGCCTGTGGTGGCCTCATAACGAACGGCTGGTTCGCCTGCGCTTATGTTGAGCGCAATGTCTTCAATTCCCCATGTCCCCTGTGCTCTCGTCTTTCCTCGTAGCAGACAATCAAGCTAACTCACTCC